GGTTCTGTTTTTGCTGTTCTTCACAACTTGGTCACAGTTTTGATTACAGCTATCTTGAACTCTACTAGAAAAGTTGAATTTGATGAGTTACCAAGTCATTTATTCCACACAAAAAAAATCCACCCCATCCAAATTATTGTATAGGTTCCATAGATATTATATAGGCTTCACAATTATTATAAAGGCCTGCAACAGTTTTCAGGCTGGTATTGACAAAGGCGGAGTTTGGAAATGAAACACTTGCATCAGTCTTCAACCCTTGGGCAGCAAAGTCGAACTTTTTTCGCAAAATTTTGTGCCTCCTCAGGTTGATTTTTAAAAAATGCAGTCCAGGGAGTGGATGGCAAAGTCGGGGAATATCCCGGCATTTTTTTTGCTCTGCGCAGAAAATTTTTGCTGAAAAATAAAAAAAATTTATCCTCAAGGCTGAGGCTTTTTTTCTGCCCTGAAGGTGTCTTGGCCCTTCCTGATCTTCCTAATCCTCTTTCCTCTTTAGTGTAGAAAAAGCTTGATACTTTCATTCAAAAACCCTTGCAGTGTTCCTTGAAAAGGAATTTGTGAGACAGGAGATTACAGCCATAGAAGCAGCACTGAAGAAGATTTTAGAAGCATGAAAAAAGAAGAGCTGAAAGAAATAAGCTGAGGTGGAACAAATTTTTGGAATGGTTCCTTGTAGTTGCTGGATTCAGGATCTTATCAAAATAATTCCCACAGTTTTATGAATAGACACAAATTTTAAAGGGCTTTGTGGCTTTCATTTTTGGCTGTCAGACAATGCTGCTAGTTTGGAGGTCAATCAGAAAAAGTCTGACTTTGGGAAATTCAAGAGACCCAATTCCCGGAGATTTTCTCTGACTTCGCCTCACCCAACTTGGCTGGGGTTTTGTAAACTCCAAAAAAACGAAAACACCACACCATACCAGAAAAGTCCAACTCAGCTGGGGGATGGGAAAGAAGGGTTTGTAACGGGGTCCCCGCGCGGCAAAAGCCCGGGACACGAAAGCCCCGCGCAACAATAGCTCTGACACAAAATCCCCGCCATACCGGCGCACAGCTGTAACGAAAGCCCCGCCCGAACTTTTTTTCAGGACTAGTAATCTTACTTCTTTTCAGGACTGGTAATCTTTGTTAGTCAGTTTGGTAGTCGCCGCTGGTTAAACTTCATTACTTTGCTACTGATTGAGGGAAGTACACAAGCTCTTGAAGAAAAACAATGAATTAAAAATAATGAAACAAAACAAATAACAAAATATTACAAAAAAATTCAAAAAAAAAAAAAACGGGAAAAAGTTTTTATTTACAAGAAATTAAGAGTCTTTGAAATATTTTCCAAGAAATCTGAACGTTCAATAAGTCGGCTTTGATAATCTTTGCACAATTGACGCAGTTTTTTCTGGTGACCTCTCTCAAAAGTTGACACTTGCTTATGTGGAATGACACCATCTTTGTCAAATTTCTTCAGCGTTGTAGCAACTGATGCAGCGTCTTGTTTCAGGCAGCAAATGAGTAACCAACTGGTGGGATTTTTCTTTCCAACCAGGCCATTGAAATAGCAATTCCAAGCTTCACTGAAATTGTTAGTTGCGCCAAGATCATTGAGCACAGCCTGATGAATGTTCCACTTCTGTGGCGGAAATGTTGGGGGTCGTCTGGTGAAAACAACTGGGGCAATTTTTCTGGGCACTTGACTTGATGGTCCCAAAAATGGACAAATCCCACCATTTGGTTACTAATTTGCTGCCTGAAACAAGACGCTGCATCCGTTGCTACAACGCTGAAGAAATTTGACAAAGATGGTGTCATTCCACATAAGCAAGTGTCGACTTTTGAGAGAGGTCACCAGAAAAAACTGCGTCAATTGTGCAAAGATTATCAAAGCCGACTTATTGAACGGTCAGATTTCTTGGAAAATATTTCAAAGACTCTTAATTTTTTGTAAATAAAAACTTTTTCCCGTTTTTTCGTTTTTTTGAATTTTTTTGTAATATTTTGTTATTTGTTTTGTTTCATTATTTTTTAAATCATTGTTTTTCTTCAAGAGCTTGTGTACTTCCCTCAATCAGTAGCAAAGTAATGAAGTTTAACCAGCGGCGACTACCAAACTGACTAATGAAGACTACCAGTCCTGAAAAAAAGTGCGGGCGGGGCTTTTGTTACAGCTGTGCGCCGGTATGGCGGGGATTTCATGTCAGGGCTATTGTCGCGTGGGGCTTTCGTGTCCCGGGCTTTCTTTGCGCGGGGATAGTGACGGTTTCCCGGGAAAGAACCCTCCGCCGCAGAAGGGTTAAGCGGCCGGGTCCTCCTTATTGGACTCCTATCTGAATCTTTTACTTTCAGAACACACAAGAACAATCCCATGGGTGAGAGACTAACATACAATCAGCACACACACACACACACACAGGTTGTATATGCAGTCCTCAAAGGCAGGAGGTCTTCTTAGCTCCAGGCAAAGGTAGCAAGTGATGCTGGCTTTGCCACTAAAAGAAAAAATGGTTTCCTAATTCCTGATTTCTCCTGGTTTACCACATTGCAATAAACTGGGTGTGCAGCAGGGACTTCCCCTGCACATGCCTTGTTTGCCACATGGTACTGGTGTGCCCAAGACAAGATGCTTTGCTTGGGTTTTGCCCCCTGGCGCAGCCCCACAGCTCCCAAATGTGTATAAACTTCAGTCATCTACTCATCTTACATACATTACCTTTTGTGTGCTCTATACCTGCATTTACAACTTAATGACCCATCCGTTTCTCCACATAATTATATTATTTTATGCAACCTAAAACATAGCGGAGAGGATTAGGAAGATCAGGAAGGGCCAAGACACCTTCAGGGCAGAAAAAAAGCCTCAGCCTTGAGGATAAATTTTTTTTATTTTTCAGCAAAAATTTTCTGCGCAGAGCAAAAAAAATGCCGGGATATTCCCCGACTTTGCCATCCACTCCCTGGACTGCATTTTTTAAAAATCAACCTGAGGAGGCACAAAATTTTGCGAAAAAAGTTCGACTTTGCTGCCCAAGGGTTGAAGACTGATGCAAGTGTTTCATTTCCAAACTCCGCCTTTGTCAATACCAGCCTGAAAACTGTTGCAGGCCTTTATAATAATTGTGAAGCCTATATAATATCTATGGAACCTATACAATAATTTGGATGGGGTGGATTTTTTTTGTGTGGAATAAATGACTTGGTAACTCATCAAATTCAACTTTTCNAATAATTATAGTAGATTAAAAAATTAATCTAAAAAACCACATTTTCAAAAAGCAAAAAATAACCTTAAACGTGGTGCGCATGGAGATTGTTGAGAAGAAGTGAAATACAAATGAAATAGATGCGCACCACGTTTAAGGTTATTTTTTGCTTTTTGAAAACGTGGTTTTTTAGATAAATTTTTTAATCTACTATAATTATTCAAGCATGATTTCAGTGCTTTCTGGTAAAACAATGGAGTTCATGGTGTCATGCCGTATTTGTTATTGGTTGGAGCATTTTATGGTGCAGAAGTACTCGTATAGGGACTGAAATTGCAAAAGTGAAACGAAAAAAGAAATAATTCTAAAAAGGATGGCATTATTCAGTTTTTTTCCTGCATGCTTCAAACCCATTCATACTATGAGACATTGTATCTTTCATCATCATAAAAAAGTCTATAGTTTGTGCACTAGATGACTAGATCCGATAAAGATAATGATAAAAACTGGAATTTAGAAGGAAGGAAATATTATTATGAAAGCAAATAAAAGCTTGAGAAAATTATTTATATGGTTTTTTTGGAATTCAGTCACTAATATGTGACGTTTTCCTTTGGACAAGAAAAGTATCACAGATAAACTCGTTTGTTACATTAAAAAGGTTGGCATGCCCTTTTTGTGCCTATGACATATCACCTGAATTAATGCTTGGTATTACACATATGATCACCGCAACATGCATGGTACCTATCATGCTTGTAAAACATGTGGAATTTTTTCATTCTTAACATTATTTCACGCTAAATGCTATGTCAAAGAGGCAATTTTTATCAGCAGAATTCAAACCCTGATGATGAATACGATTTTCGGTTCAAAATTTGGCTATCATTGCACTTTAGCAGATCGGTAGAGCTTGGATTGAACCAGTGAAAAGCCAATGACAACTTCCTTTTTTATTTTACAATTGCTTTAACTACAACTTGCGCGTGAAGTATAAATATGCATTTGTAATTTACTTCAACATGATTTGAGATTGATGCCAATTCCTCAATTCTTGGAAAGAAAAAGGTTTACCTCCTGCTATTCAATTTTCATGATTTTTCTCGTACAAAAAATGAAGCAGCAAACAATTGAAGAATGAATTTCTTTTCAATGCGATAAAAAATCTTACAGTATAACCGATTCGACTTCATTGGTAAAGATTAGCACTGCTGGTTGACAGCATTACATGGACCACTTAATTTGCGGTTAGTCATAAACATTCTAATTTTTAATATTTTTCTTGCTAGCTCATGAACAGAATAAAAGAAAAAGACGGAAAAAGACACGAATTCCTTTTCATTGTATGACTAAGATTCCTTAGCGTGATTGTGTATGAAATTGAAGCCAGTAGTTTTATCAAACATTACGATTGGTTTTCCTTTCAACGCTAGTAATATATTTATTATTATTATCAATACAGTATTAGCAAAATGAAAGAAAATATTCGGGTGATTTCTGACTTTAACCGCTCAATGAAAAAAAAACAGATTTAAAATAACTAGAAGCCAAGAAGAATCCGAGTGCATGATAATGCCTTCTCATGGAAGACAAAGATAGAAAAAATTAACAACCCCACCCAAGAAAAGTTTCCGACCCAATCCGAGGTCACGGTAGAGCCGTGAGTTCCCAAACTTCCCGATATAAAACCCAGACCGATCCCAGACACAAGCATCAGTATCAACCCAACCAAGAACGTGTGAACTAAATTTTTATACACAAACATTTTTCGCCTTTCTACGTTCAACTTCTGATTGTTCTATAGCAACCATGCTCAAGGTGAGAAAAGAGCCGCGCTCATTTTCTCTCTTCCAACTATTACTGCAATAAGTGATGCAAATGAGTCTTTAGAAAATGAGATGGAATAATTCCATCATGTCATGATGCCAGACTGCAAGGAAACAATATAAGTGCAATCGGAATGAAAAACGTTTTTTATTGCTTGAATTATTAAAAGGATTTTTAATATAAGAATTCCAGTGAAATTCCAAAGACGTAAAAATAGCTAAAGTTTGCTACGCAGAAATGTAAAAGTGCGGTGTTCCAAAAATATGCTTAGTTTTTTTTTTAATTAGAAAATAGTAGATTCATTGGTGTGGATGGTGGCGTGGTGAAAATGAAATTTTATACTGCAACGTATTTTTCTTAAAGTTCGTCGCTGTTATTGCCTTGTCTGCCGTTTGCTTCGCTGATGACCTGTACAAGCCAGCTTACAAACCAGCCTACAAGGAAGCTTCTTATGACGACGTGAGTTTTCATATTTTAGTGGGATTTTTGCATGGTGAGAAAAATGAGATAAACGCCAAGAGTGAAAGTTTGAATTTGGAATGACAGCCTTGCTTGAGGTTTCAACATGCAGTAAATTTTTTTTATTCAGCATGGAAGATAAAATCTATGAATTTTTTAGGGCTGTCAAAGGTTAATTTCTCGTAATTTTTAATCTTTAAAGTAAAGCAGAACGTACCTCAGTGAACCAGAACCGATGATTGTGAGAGAAATATTCTGCCGCAGCACCCAAAGTACAACTTTGACTGGGCCGTGAAGGACGACTACACCTACAACAACTATGGCCAGACTGAGAGCCGAGATGGATACAACACCGATGGCTCCTACTTTGTGACCTTACCCGACGGCAGGATCCAGACTGTGAAATACTACGTCAATGGAGACTCTGGCTACGTGGCTGAGGTCACCTACTCAGGAGAGGCCAAATATGACTCTGCCTACAACAAGCCTTCTTATGCCCCGGCCCCGTACAAGGCTGAGGCCAGCTACCACAAGCCCGCCTACGCCCCAGCCCCCTACAAGTCCGAACCGGCCTACAACAAGCCTGCCTACCATGCTGAACCTGCCTATGCACCAGCACCCTACAAGGCAGAGCCCACTTACAACAAGCCTTCTTACAAGCCTGCTTACAAGCCAGCTTACAAGCCCGCTTATGCACCAGCGCCCTACAAGGCCTAAGCGAGTCTTAGGATTTTGATTAGGATACGCCAATTCATTTGATTTTCATGTATTCTTTTGTCCTTTGTGGGTTGTTTCTTCAATGGTGTCCCTCGTGTGTAGTTGTTTTTTCTCTTCTCGATTTCTTGTTTCAGAAGGAGAATGAGTTATTTATTGTGTTGGTCTCGCATCGGGTTGCCAATATAAAAAACCTCTTATCTGGAGATTGTTCCTTCCTTTTTTTTTCCTGTTCCAATATCACAAACTATACTCAGCATTGCTGCTTGGAAATGGTGACTGGTACCATGAGTAAGAGCTCTTCTACTTCCACTGAACATTTGTTGAGAGATTCATCTTGTTTTGAATTAAATACCAGTAATTCCTCAAAGAGTCATTCAATCGTCAAAATATGTACAGTATATGTACTTTTTCAAACATGTTTGCTCGTGATAAAATTAAAAAGGCTCAATAACAATAAAAAAAAAGTTGCAATACACTATTAGCTCACCAAAAACGGACATGAGGAACCCCAAATGTAAAAAAAAATCCCATCCACTTTCAAATTTCTTGCAGCCTAAAGAAATAGCCGTCCCCGAAAAGGGAGATGAGATGGTATTCATTTAATGTATCATCGGATGAATATGAATCTTGCAATGCTGAAAATGACTGTGGTACGTGTACATGAATGCTGAGCGTACCATAAATGTCTTCCACTCACAATAGTCACAAAGGAGAAAGGACATCAAATTTTTATCTAACAAGGGTCCGTTTTTCACATTTTTGACAGTCTACAGACACTGTGAGCTTTGATTATCCCCTTCATATCATCAACTTTGATTAGTTATCTGCTGTCACTTTAAAAAAATTTGTCCGAAACTGTGGGGTCGCGGTAGAGGGCGCCACCCAGACAAGGGTTTTTCGCCAAAGCGTCCATAGACGGGTGGCTATGGACGTGTGCGCATCAGAAGTCCCAGCTGCGCAGCTGTTTTATCTCTTATGCGGCAAACTGGCGGCAAAACAGGAATGCAAAAAAGAAGAAGGAAATTTGGCATGGCTGGAAGAGCTTCACTTGAAGCTCATGACTATGTCAGGGGAAGCACCTTGGTGGGATCACTTTTTGTGTGCAACTATTAGACGATTGTTGCGTGTGTTGTTCATGCCTGTGTGATAGGGAGTATACTGATGGTTTTGTTTAGGACCTGATTACTGTGTCCGGGACTCTGTGTCCACATCCTCCTATTATTTTCTGCTCTGCAAATAATTAAAGGTTTTAGGACTCCTGTCTGGAGGATATGGCTGCCAAACAGCTGAACCTTGTGTTATATTCAATCGGCCTTTGTGCACTGTTACAGGCCTGACACCCACCCTGTTCCTACAGTTTTCAAACAGGTTTTACCGCCGTTTAATTTTGAGTTTTCTCATGATTTTTAGAGCTGTGATGGACAACTATATTGTTTGTCAGAGAATGAATATCTGGTGTAAATGCAGTATGTTGCAAAGTTGCTGACACCTTGACCAGCTGCCACAAACCTCTATTCCTGAACCATAGTCAAAATTTGACCTAACCTTTGGTGCATGATTCTTGTTTGTATTAACTACGAAAATGCTGCACTAGCTTCTCCGAATTTTACAATTGCATGAAGCTATTAAGATACCTGAGTGGGTACATTTTTCCGGCATAATTTCATTTTTATCTGGTTAAATGTTGGCGTTCTTTGTTTCAAGAAGAACATTTTTATGCGCCTTACTTATATTTAAGAGAATAAATATATGCTTATATTTAAGAACCGGTTATATGCTAAAATTCAGAATGGCAAATGATAATGAACAGGATTGTCATTAAGCTTGCCATTCAATCTTCATTTCCTGCATATTTGGGTTACTATTGAGAGATCAATGGCATATTTCCTATTACAAGACAATCATCGCCAAACGAAACTTCAAGAGCGCCTTTATTCATTCAAGAAAAACACAAACATGATTATCAGCAAAAAATCAGGTGGAAAAAAATATTTCATAAAAGCAATTAGAAGCTCGAGGCAAATATGGAGATGTTTTTCCTGTAAATAATTAACGAAGTGTAAAAGTTCCCTTTGGAAAAGTAATGCTCTCACAGAAAAGGGCATTTGTTGCATACACAGAATTAGTGTACACTTTTTTTTATTTATGTGAATCACCTAAAGCAGTGGTGCCCATCAACTAAAAACTAGTGGTGGGCAACATGACACGGGAGATAGCATTCTAGGGCCGCATAAATTTTATTTTTATTTTTTTCCAGTTGGTAGAGGGGAGAGAAAAATGTGCGCTTGCTACAATTTTTGCAGTGCACTGAAATTAGTGGAAGTAAGCTTGAAAGATTTTTGGCACTTTGTTTTTTTGGAGTTGGATGGACCTGTATGATCTCAAAATTAAAATGTGTCGTGGCACGTGGATTTACTGTCACGGGGCAGGCAGGAATGCTATTTGGGCCAGATTTGGCCTGCAGATCGTATCTTGCTGTGCACCCGTGACCTAAATGATTCTTTTTGACACATACAAACACTGCAGCATGGGAACATTTATGCGTGTGGCACTTGTTCTTTTCGTTGATTCTCAACGTTATTTCTTACCGAATTTTGTGTACGCGAGAGGGCATTTTGATCAGCAAAATTTGAAATCTGATAAATACGAATAACGATTTAACGTTTGGCTAATCTCAGTTGATCAGATTCATCAAGTTATATGATTCAATCCATAAAAATGCAATGACCTTTTTCTACAATTGCTTACCTATAAAACGTGTTGGTTAAACCACTATGTGCAACTGTCCAGTTACATCATGCTTGACTTGAGTTTGTTGCTACTTCAGCAATTTTTGGAGAAACAGATTATTTTTTATTTATGTAAAAAGGTGCAATCTTGGTCTTTTCCTTTAAGGATTTAAAACAGCGAACGAAAGAAAAAAGATGCGTCTTTCAAATTCATTAAAAAAACCTCACAGCTAGATCGATTAGACTTTATTGGAAAAATTGGCGCTAATTGACACCTTCAGTCATATATGGAGCACTTTATTTGTGATTTTCATAAACATTCGACTTCAGAATCTTTTTCTTCGTCTTATAAAAAATAAAAACAAAACAGGCAGGCATTCATACTTGTCTGACAATAAAGATTGCTTCGCAGAATCGTCGATCAAAATATAAACTTTATTCGGATGTAGGAATTTGTTGTATGTAAATATAATTGAAAATTAGAAAACAGAAAACGAATTATTCCCATGCAACTTCAATGATACACTCGTCACTCGAAGCATTTCAAGGACTTTCTGAGAAGTTTAATCAAACATTACGTTTCTCCTTTCTGTTAATGGAAGTAGGCCATTGGTAATTATTACGATAATACATTAATATGATTTCTTATGCTGACCAGTCAATGCAGAAAAGAGGAAACAACGAACTTGAAAATTAGAAGAATCCGTGTCCGTTATTATATTGCTTTCTCATTCAAAATGAGCTACGATGGAAAAAGGTGAACTACTCCACCCAAGAAAAGGTTCCAACCCAATCCGAGGTCACCCTAGAAGATCGAGCCGGGAGTTCCCGAACTGCCGGATATAAAAACCAGACCAATTCCAGATACAAGCATCAGTATCGAACCAACCAAGAACCTGTGAACTACATTTTTATACACAAACATTGTTTGCCTTTCTTGTTCAGCTTTATAGTGTTCTAGCAAACATGCTCAAGGTGAGAAAAGAACCGCACTCATTTTTTTTTCTTTTCGGGAACTATCGTGCAATAAGGGACGATAATGTTTCTCAAGCAAATAAAATTAAATAATTCCATGGCGTGATGATGCAAGACTGAAACAGAACAATCAATTTAATTCGAAGAAAAAGTTGTCTATTTCTTAAATTATAAGTATTTAAATTTTAAAACATAGGAACTCCTGTTGCAATGCAAAGAAGTACAAAATAACTAGTCTATTATGCAGAAATTTAAAAATTTAGTGTTCAAAAAAGATGTTTTTTTATTATTAGAAAATAGTAGATTCATTCTTGGTGTGAATGGTGGCGTGGTGAAAATGAAATTGTATACTGCAATTCATTTTTATTCAAGTTCGCTGCTGTTATTGCCTTGTCTGCCGTTTGCTTGGCTGATGACCTGTACAAGCCAGCTTACAAACCAGCCTACAAGGAAGCTTCGTATGATGACGTGAGTTTTCATTTTTGAATGCTGTTCTGTTATGACAAGCAAACTGAAAAGGAAACGAGTTGAATTTTGACTTTTGCTAGACAGCCTTGCTTGAAGTTTCAATTTGCAGTTATTTTTCTCTAACTTTGTGTGAAATAAAAACAAATTTCACAGTTACAAAGGCTGTTATAGTGGTTCATTTTGTTATTTGCCAGGTTTGAAAATAAAGTACATTACCATGGAACTTAGTGATATACCTCTAACCAGAAGCAACAATTGTGACGTAAATATTCTGCCGCAGCACCCAAAGTACAACTTTGACTGGGCCGTGAAGGACGACTACACCTACAACAACTATGGCCAGACTGAGAGCCGCGATGGATACAACACCGACGGCTCCTACTTTGTGGCCTTGCCCGACGGCAGGATCCAGACCGTGAAATACTACGTCAATGGAGACTCTGGTTACTACCGACTCCAGTGGATGAGTCCTCTCCGGTTTATGCTGAGACGGATGTTGTTCGGAAGAATACGGGGACGGGGGATGTTCCGACTCCGGTCGATGGTTTTCGGGCGGATGCAGGGTCGGGGTATGTTGTCCGAACCGGCCTACAACAAGCCCGCATACCATGCCGAGCCTGCCTACGCACCAGCACCCTACAAGGCAGAGCCCGCTTACAACAAGCCTAGAATGTTCGGACGGATGTTCGGCCGAATGTTCGGGCGAATACGTGGACGAGGGATGTTCCGGATTCGCTCAGAATCCTAAAACTAATCCTATACGGTTAAGTAAACTAAAAGTACAGTGCAAGAAATGTCCTTTGTGGGTTGTTTCTTCAATGGTGCCTC